TAATGCAGCTTTCGATAGTCCCATAAGGGATCGCGTTAACGCCGCAATGTCTGAGCTCGGTATACCTGCAAAATAAATACGACTCGGCAGAATGAAGTTGAGCAATAGCCGTAGCTCCGTCAAGTTAGGATCGAATCTCTCCAAACCTTTTGATTCCGTGTGAGACTTCAGACAAAGTGATTTCGTATCATGCAATCTTTTCAATTTCGTCATGGAAGTGATCATGCGCTCGGTTTGGATTGTTGTACAAGCCATACAGCATGTTCTGTGTTAGCAAATTGACAGTGAGTAATCTTTCTGATGCTCTCCAAAACGTAGGGGAGGTATATCGTCGCCACTGGATTCAGGCGTATGTGGACAATCTCAAACTCTTCAGTTTTTTAAAATTAATTAGCAATCAAAATATAAGAATTGGTTATATAAATAAAAAATACTACAACTCAGTAATTGTATATTCTAATAATATTTAAATAAATCTATTAATAGAATATGCAATATTTCAATATATTATATGGACTGAGATTATAGTAGAATTATTTAAATTGATAATGCTTATTAAATTGAAGTGAATAATAAATATTGAACTCTTTTATTTAATTAAATTCTTTTATAAATTCTTCTTCAAAAAATTATAGACAAACATTTATATTTTATAAATTAAAATTAATTTTTAATTTTATGTATTATATATTTAATTGACATGAATTAAAAACTTAATTATTTAAAAAAATTAAATTAATAATGTTTTTATTTTTAAATACTTTATAGACATTTTTATTTAAGAGGCAAAACGTTTGATTAAGGAACTATTTTAATTAATTAAAATAGAATTAAAAAATTCTGCTTTATATTATTTTAATTAATGGATTGTTTGACTGACAATACAGCTGTTTATTAATTTTATTTATAAAACATTAATTTTATTTATAAAACATTAATTTCATTAATAAAATATTAATTTTATCAATAAAATAATGATTTTATTAATATCTATGTTATTTTATATTATTTTATTTTTATTGGTAATATTTTATTCTATAAAGAGGTGTTTAGAGCAGTAGTGGGTTTACAATAGGTCTACAATAAAAATTCATTTTATATTACTTTAATTAGTTGAATTAATTGAATATTTTATTTTATTAAATATTAATCTTAAGTAAATTATGATTTAATAACCATTTTAGTGAATTGAAAACAATTAATTGAATTTAATAATAATTAATATATTATAATAATTATGATATATATATATCATATATATAATTATATAATATATTAATAAAATTAATAATATTTTTTTTGTTATATCTTTTATGTAAATTTCTATAAAGTTTTGTTTTGTTGTAGGAATGAAAAAAATACTTCAATTCTTGCTAATTATCATTTGCAATACTTTAATCATCCATAATGGATGAGATTGACTGAAATATCCTCAATGTCAGCTTAAATTTAGTGCTCATGAAATCATCACATCTCTTTATCTTATATCTTATGTCTTATGAAGTCAAAGTTTTTCTAATTTATTAATTTATTATTAGTTGTGCCGTATATTCTAGCAACAAAAGTTTTTTATTGCTTTATGAAGGCAACGTTTGCCTTCATAGTAAAAAGTGCATCTTAATAATGTCACTCATACGCACTGTTTACCCTATGAAATATAAAAACATTTTCTCGTGTGTTGCTTGAGAAATGCCTCTTTTGTTGTTTTAATAATCCAAAGCCACTGCATTATGTAGAAGAACTAGTTCATTTTAATTGTTAAGTAAAGTGCCTGGCTCGAATGTACCCAATTTGACCACGAACATTATTCAATTTGATGCAGTTAGTCTGTCGGTGTACGTGTCCGTCTTGCAGTCTGTCTGTAAACTTTTCAGCTGGAAACCTTTAAATTTGCTTTGTTTTAATGAAATGCTATTCTCAATTCTATTTTTCTCATTCTTGGTTGTTCTTCATGTGCTTGTGTAAGCGTGACTTGTGTTATTTCATTTAAATTGGATTTATTAACAAAAGTTTTCTAGGTTATGGGGTAAATCTGCCACCCACTTGCACTAACTAAGAGTACAAATTCGCAATGTTTTTTTTTTTTGTTTTTATGTTTTATGCTTATACCTTATTTTATGTTTTTCCTTATATTCACTTTTTGTTTTTTTTTTGTTTATTCTTTACAATTCTTTCATTTTACTTTTTGTAAATTCAATTGTGAGTGTTATTAGAGCTTTTTGCAGTTTTTACTTGCACGTAAAAATAATTATCGCATGGAGAGTGAATTTTGCTTGCCACAAATAAAAATTAAAAATTATTAACTACAAGTGTGGCATAATAAGATATTTTACAAAGTAACTGCAAATGCTCATCACAAATAGAGGTTGAAATCAAAAATATAGTCACTAACAGCAGCGAGTAAAGATTCCTAAACTTCTTTTCCCGCAGGGAATCCCACAATCACATCAAGTCTTCTTCCTTCAAAAATTCTTCCTTAACTCTACCGACTCTCATAAGCGATACAAAATGGCAAAAAAGTATAAAGAAACGTGAAAACCAGAAAAAAAAATTAAAACAAAAAACAAAAAAAGAACAAAAATGGAAAAGTCGAAAACTACAAGAAGTGCAGAAATGAAGTCAAAAATATTCATTTTCTTTATAAAGAAAATTATATGAATTTTCTTATTTACATTTATGCGAATGCCAGTGGAGTCCTACGTACTTATAAGTACGTGATTTTCTACATGAAAATAAATAACGACACTCACGTAAAATATTATCATGTGGCTGTATCCTTTAACAGGAAACGTTGATAGTTGCTTTCAGTGGCTTTCAGTTGCCGTTTTGTTGCCCGTATTGCTCCTAGTGCGCCGTACTCCACACTTGTGACATTGTGATGTATCTGCACCTTCAGAATCGCTGCTCAAAGATAAAATCAACAGTGCGAGTGTAATTAGATTTTTCGTATTAGATTTGTAGAGGTGTGGCAGAATTATTATCAACGTAAATGTCATGAGCCTAAATTATTGTATAGTCTGTAGCACCCAGGCAAAGTAGGGCGGACAGGCTCTAAACTTTCAATGATAACAACAAATACAATGAGAAGAACAAATATAATGATTGTGGCTTCATTTTATAGGTACCGCCCTACCGCCCTACCGCCCTACGGTATTACGATTCTACTAATGCCATTATCACACTCATATGAAGTAGAAGATGCTTATGCCTGTTTGGTGTCGTGTATGCGTGTATGAATATGTATGCATGCTCTTGTGTACACATGTAAATGTGTTGATGGCTTCTCAGCGCTTTTACTTCAATCTTACGTTGACATTTTATTATCCTTTCGTGTGTGAATTTTACAAAAAATATTACAATTTTTACATTTTCATTTGGTTTAATTTTACATTTTTGATTTCTTGATTTCAAGTCAGTAGATTATTGCGCTTATTGTTATTGTTGTTGTTGTTATAAGAGTTATACAGTCAAACTTCCATAACTCCAACTTCTATAACTCGAATTTTCTATAACTCGAAGTTTAACAGGGTTTAGAGAAGAAACTATATACAATCACAAAAAAAATTATTTTATTCGAAGTCTCCATAGGACGAACCTTTTCTTTGCATAATTGTACTTCGAGTTATGGAGGTTCGACTGTATATATATTGTGGGACGTTGGGATAGCGCATCGTCTAACAAGTGGTCCCACTAACGTAAAGAATTAACCAAAGTAGACCACGAAACGACTCCTTTTCCTCCCGCGAATTCACGGATATCTTTATTGAGTTAAAGCTAAACTTGCTTTCGTTCGCATAACTAGATGGCCTACCACGTCATCACCAAACCAATGTTATCCCAAGACAGTCATCTTTCTGCTTTCTAGTGCTGGGCATTGGCACAATATATGCACAACTGTCTCCTTTTCTTTTATACATAGTCTGCAAGTGTTTTCCTCAACAAGAGCTATCTTTTTGAGGAGATACTTGAAGTATCCATGTCCACAGTAAGCAATGAAGTCAACCAGCTCAGGGTGCTCTGCGGATAGCTAAGCAGTTTTATCGTTTCCCTGTTATATGAGTTAGTATTGCTTTTATCTAACGCATTGACTGATAAATCGGTCATATGACTTACTGGCAGTGCCAGTAATGAAATGCCAGTTCATATAAATTTTAAAAAGTGGCAACTTTTGAAATTTCAAAAGATTTCAAGTATTACTCATTGAGTTATATCAGTTTTAGTGTCGTCAACTTTTACATTTTCAGAACAATGGGAAAAAATACAGTAACAATGATGAAATGCTAACCAACTTCTGTTTTATTAAGACTATTAGTTGAGAAGTGTTTTGATGAATTTAAACGTACAAACACCCACTATGCCGAATGCACTTATCGCCGAAAAAGGGAAAATGACATTGAATATTATCAAAAATGTCTATAAAATCGATTTTGCAAGCCTTTAATACACCTTTGCAGAAAATAGCTGACACCTTGAAGATTTTAAAGAAACCTATCGGCTTCATTTTACGTGAAAACTTGTCTCTAAAAAAGCTCTTTTCGAAATGAATGCCGCATTCGCTGACAGTTAATCAAAACTAACAATGCTTCAATGATTCTGAGAACTGCTTGAGTACAGCAATTACATTAAAAGAAACTACGCCAGATCAGAGAGTGCTTCATAGTCCAACTGATGCGTCTGAAGAAGAGATTCGCAAAACAACTGCCGATTTAAAGAAAAGTCTCTTACCAATGGAATACTCCATGTTATGTCATTGGATGCCAATACCAAATTGGCTTCATGCCATTTTTCTGATATATACCAGTGGCATTACATTGAATGACATCAAGTGAATAAAGTATACATTATTCATACACTATAACTATAACTAGTCACTCATAGTTGTAAGATTCTAACAAAAAAAATTAATAAAATATTCTAGTTGGCCATGTAGTATTGTAAAATATCCATATACATATTTATTTATTATATGAAATGTTTTAAATATAAATTTTGCTTGTCATTATATTTTCTTGAACGAGAAGCTTGGACTTGAAATAAAATTTTGCGTTATTCTTTTTTCAGTGAAGCAAATTAAAAGTACATTTTCTTTTAAATTTTGTGTTATATCAAAATTCTAGAAATGCCTTTGCCGATCAATAGTGGAAAGACAATGAAGTCACAATATATGGCATCTTCCGTAGAGGATCTTGAAATGTATAATTTTCGGCGTGCAATGACTGCTAAGTGGGTACAAAGCATTCCCAAACATGTATCATCTGTCGAAGATGTAGAAGACTTTGATGCGCGTTATGAAAAAAAATACCGCAATCGCATGGAGCTTCCCCCGTCGCTTGTGGCAGCCATAGAGAAGCGAAATACACGTTCTGTACTGGAAGGGAACAGGGATTTGGTTAGCAAAATAAAAGGTGTTTTCAAACCGCCAGTAATCACAAAACCAGAGTCAGAGACTAAAACGAAGTTCAAAATAAGTGACCTAACAGACGACGACAGGATTAGAATAGTTGAACGAGCAGTTTTATATCAAAATGCTGTTATAGAGAAAGTATCAAAAGCCATAGATGATGATCCTCATGGACTCGTGAGTCGAGAGTTTGATTTGTTTAAACATAAGATGATGCACAGTGGCGATATTTCTTGCAGTTTAAAGTCTTTAAATCCCTATGGTATATTTAAGGAAGGTAACTTTGCGGCCAAACTATTATATAATATCATGGCCTTAGAAGAACGCGTGATGAGAGCAATAAAAAAATCTGCATGGCTGACTCAACAGATGAATTCCACTCATGGAGTTGCACTCATTCCAAGTAATGCTGAGATGATCAAACAAATTCCTATTGCTGCTAAGATGAAACCTTCGCACGTACCTGATAAGAAGGCGAAATTTAATATCTTTATTAAACAACTCATTCGAAAATGTGGAGATAATAAGCGACAAGCAAATGGCTGTGATAAAATCAAGCATTCTGAGTCTAAAGGAAAGTCACGTAAAGTCTGCACTAAGAAACCGAAGAAGTTAAAACCTAAGCCTTCAGGAGCAAAACCTGCTGTTGACGTTAATAAAAAAACCAAAGCCACTAAAAAACCATCAAGCATCAGGAAAACTCCAAAACTTTCAGAAGCTGGTAGACGTTTTCTGGAGAAGAATCCATACATCATTGAGATTGCGAATAATATGGGCATCCAAAAAGGTAAAAGGTCTAGTTCTTATTTAAAATGTCAATTTAATTAAAAATAATTGTTTTAAAAAATTTTTAGCAGCTATCCAAAAGCAGCTAATCTCTCGTCGAAAAACGAAGTAACGTAATACGGATGATCTCATACATGGTGTGCAGTTATACCTGTGACGACATATTTCTGAAAGTGGAGCTTTAAAATTTAAGCTCTAATAATTTGCATAGCTGGCAGGCACTAGGCTATGTTTTAAGTTGATCGATTATGCAAAAGTGAAGATATTGATTAGTTATTTTTTGAAAGTATAAGTAAAATACTTCCAAAAAAATTTTGAATATACAATAAGCAGATATGCTAAGCTTAACATATTATACATTAACACATATTTATTGGGCAAGAAGTTTAAATAAACGCTCTAATAATCATAATGATATATGATTCTATATCATTAAAATTTTTTTTCCTTTGCATTTTTTAAGGATATAATTTACATATTATCTTGAAATCATACATAAGGAACTCTTAAAGCTACCATCCTTAGTTAGAGCAAACACGAATTCTGAGTGATCTGAGTTAATTGCGAATATAGGTTCAGGGGTATGGAGTGCTGTCATACAACAAACTTTCAGATTGGTTTTATGATCAATAAAAAGTTTGTGTTGCAAGTCTATCACTAGACGGTAGTGCTTTACATCCTGATGCCGACAATAATTTTTTGATTAATCCTATTGTACAGTAGTACTGAGTTTAAAATCCAATCAAATATTTTTGGCTTAGTGTGCCTGGGTATTTTTGAGTAGACCCAGTTTCCTGATTTCCGCTTTTGACATATATTAAATACAATACCTTTTCAAACTACAGAATATACACTTAAAAAAAAGACAAATCATTCCTAAAAGAGTACAAGGCAGTATCAAATTTTACATTTTTAACGACTGAGCGATAGGCGACCTCTCCTTCGTAAGTTGTGCGACTTCCATTCAAAAACCATTCATCTTATGATCTGGTTTAATCCTATTCCATTGTCTTCAAGGGAAGATACAAACAGATGACGAAGCAAACAGTTCCTTTATTAGCATATTTTACATCTTGTGTTTGATTTGAATATAACTCAGTTGGCTACAAAAAAACTAAATCAAACACAATGACATTTAAACATTATATTAATATAAAAAAAATTTTCAAGTTCTGTCGTAATAAAAATATATTTTGACTCGTTTATTCGTATTAGCAAAAATTTTAAAATGTCTTCCTCTGCTGAGGATAAAGGTCCTAATCTTTCTGAACAAGCAACAAAATGCTTGGATAATGGAGATGTAGACAATTATAGGCTTGAATATACTAAACAGTGGGTTAACAATCTTCCCTGCGATGTGGTCCCGTTAGAAGAACTAGACAATTTCGAGGCCCGTTGTCAAACAGAACAAATCTCTACTAAAGCAAACAAAAAGAAAAAAGCCAACGTGGTTCCTAAGAAAAAGCCGGGAGCACTAAATATTGCATTAAAGCGAGTACAAATGAGCACAAAGGGTCCATCGGAAAACGCACAAACAACAAATTCAGAGTGTATAGCTGAAGAACTAACGCGGTCGGAAAAAGTGAAAGTAATAATTAAAAAATTGGTATGCCAAAATACTTATTTAGCAGATCCAAAAACAAAAATGTATCCAGAAAATCCAGTACCCATGGACAACTTGCTGCGCCAAGAAATAGAGATGTACAGAACGCAAAAGGCACTTAATCAAATAGAGATACTCTGGAAATTTCAGTCATCATATTTGCTAAGAAATTGCAATCAATTTCCGAGACAAGTTGAAATGTCCAACAATCAAAAATATATGTACAGACAATTAATCAATGATGGAACATTACCAAAAATGATAATCCAATACATAAAAATTTTAGAGAAACGCAAGCTAGAAAGTGAAGATAATGGTATTGGTAAAAATATAACTTGGACACTGCAGCCAAATGATGATATTCAATCAAAAGTGGAGACACGTACAGAAAAAGAAGTAGAGAGTACTAAAGTGGCAAATAATGGCAAAGCTGAAAATAATAAGAAAAACGTAAAGAGCAAACCATATTCCAAATCACATAAAACGAAAGAAGCCAAAGCTCCTAAAGTTTTAGGGAAGGGAAAACTGTGGGCGTTAAAGTTAATTGGTGATGCTAACTTGACACAAAGTCAAGAAGATCATCTAATAACTGAAAAAATGTTAGAAAGGGAACGAAGGCTATCGTCACAAATAACCACCAGTTTCTCAAGTAGTACACTGACAGAAGGTGAAAGTAGGGAAACATTAGTAGCACAGCCGATATCAGTTATAGACAACAAGCCATCAACAGGAAACAAAAAATGGTTAAAATGCAGGACAAGAAAACAAAATCAGGTGCCTCCATCTACAACGACATTAGAAAGCGATTGGGTTCCAAAACAGCGCCAAAAGAAAATGAAATGTAAACGCAATCTTCATTGTAAACAAAAAGAATATAGTGAAATATACACAACAAGCGAACCACCAACACATGCGGAAAGCTATAAATCAACAGGAATGACCTCTACATTTTCAAATAAAAAATTTGGAATGGCCAAGAAATGTAGTAATCCAAAAAGTCTACGTATCATTGAAAAAGCACGTATGCTTAGAACCAGTGATACTAATTCTGTAATGGCAAGTAGATTGAAATATAAGGGGGCTTCTAAGCGAATAACAAAGAAGATCATATCGCAAATGCCTAACCAAAATAAAACTTATTTCTATGAGATAGAAAAGGGATTCAAAAAGTTTTTAATGCAAAATACATCTTTTGATTTTTCGCATAATAAACATAAAAAAGATGAAGAAAAGAAACCTGTTCCGAGAATGCAACCTTGGATGCGAAAAATCTTCGGACGCAGTAAAAATACACAAAAAGAACGTTCTGTGGTGAAGAAATTCGCTTGGCCTAGTGAAGATAAAATTCTTTCGGAAAAAATAATGAAACTAGCTAAAGAAGGTATATTTATTGACCCACATGCTCCAGTTTATCAACCAACAGAAAATATCAAAATTTACAGAAGTAAGAAATGTTTTCTCATATTTGTTCCATGTTTATAGTACAATTAGATGGCACTTATTTATTTTTATTCTTTAGTTTTTACTTTTTAGATTTTGTCACATCCGCTGGCACATTAACTATTGTTTATTTTAGTATATATTTATATAACTCTGTTTGCTACAATAAATCTCATTTAGTAGATCATATCACAGTAGTGCGAACTTTTCAGTATATGACTTAATATCTTCACTAAATGTTACTTAAGTAATTTTTTTAATTAATTTAATTTTCTTTGTTATTCCTTTTTTAGTGTTGTTAGTTTGTACCTTGGGTGCTACCTCTAATTTTAATTAATTTATTTGAACTAAGTCGAATATTGACTGCATGCGAGAGTGTAGTGAGAGGGCTTACTAGGTGTATGTTTTGTGTTTAACTGTATTTTATTGCTTTATAAAAATGTTTGTCAATAACTAATATGATTCTATAATGAGAAAATTTGAAATATTTGGCTTGATTCTTTTAGTAAATAATATTTTCAAAAACTACTAATTATTATTATCTATTTATTTTTTATTTTAATCAGTGTATAATCGCAAAGATGACTCAGAGAGTGATATTTGTATGCACGGATGCATGGAAAGTCATGAAAAATTTGTCGTAGAACTCTAATCGCCAAAAAAAAATCACCTGGGTTAAGCATACAAGCAATATATTAAGCATATAATCACATCAACCATAATCAAGCATAAATGGATTATCAAGGAAAGATTAAGACGGACATTTAAGTTACAATTTGATCATTTAGTTCAATTAATCTAATTTAGCTAATGGTTTTGGAAATAAATACTATTTTATAAAAAAAATTTTTTGTTAGAAATAAACGTTTAAATTAACCGCAAAAAATTAAATTTTTTTTTAAATTTATTATATGGTCACATTTCCAGCATAACACAGTAATCTTCAATGTTGAAATGAAGTAATATATTTTATTTTATTATTTTATATTTTATTTTATGTAATTATTACAATACTACACAATAAAAGTTGTATAACTAAAGCAACTTATATTATTTCCCACACAGCTTGGAAATCTATAGAAAACTGACGTCACTAAACCTTAGAGATTTCTACGGCGAGTCTTAAAGAGTACTAAATCTAAGGGTCCAAGCAACCAAATAGTTTGTAGATGTAGAACCATATGGTTCTAAGAACAACTAACCTGAGTGAATAGCGTTAAATAATATTCCATGGATGGCAGCCTTATGTCCATGAACCCACTTGAGCTCATATAATGAGCTGTTGTGCTACTATTCCATGGGTTTTTATTACCCATTGAAAATCTATTATTACGCCAAACGCTAAATGTACACTTAAGGGCATGCTCTGTAAAACGAAATGTGTTGCAACAACAATTGCTGTGACGTGTCTGCAATCATAACATACTCTCAGGGTTCCCTGTCTTCAAAAACTACATAACATTGGTTGCTTATTATTATTATGGAAAATGAATAGTACACTACAACACTGTGTTTCTTCAAGTCCAATTTTTTTATTGAAAATGGATATAGTACCTATCTTTCCTAATTTTGACTCCTTATGTTCTATGAAACACCCTCCAAGATGTTGTTTCCGTTTTTGCACCAGTGCCGGGCACTTTCCAAGCACACGATATGCGGCTTCACTCCCTTCTATGCGGTATCTGCTGTCTAAGTTGCATTGAATTCGTAACTTTGTTAGGTGATTATTCAATCTACAGTCACCGATTAGTAATCCCGTAATAATTCTTAGATTATTCTTTGTTTATTCTATACAATACAAAGGGCATTTTTAGTTGTAAGTCACTTAAAGCATTTTAGATTGTTATAATCTTGGTAGCTTTTCGAAATATAGTTGTCTTTCTTTTTCTTTTACAGGCAGTGAATACAATGGGTAGCATGTTTATGAGAGAAGCAGAGAGATAAGTTGTTAGGGATGATAAAATATATGGATATAAATAGATGCAATATAGGATATATTTATAAGTAATTGCTAATTGGTATTATATATTAACTTATATATACATTTTTGGTATTTTAACTTATAAGTTTATTAAAAACACAAATTTTTTTACGTTTTTATATGTATATTGATACAATTTTTATTTTTTGGTTTCATTTCGTAATTTTTTTTTTTATATCTATATATTTTTTTAACTTTCGATTTTAATTTACTATACAAACACTACACTTAATCAATTAAAAGGATTCAGGTTGTACGAATTTATACATAAATACAATATTTTTGATATCCTATTTGGAAACAGAGAATGTCGTAATATCGTATATGCTATATGCTACTCGCTAGTATATAGATCAGGTTAAGATACCTATTAAAAGTTTAATTAGTAACATTTTGCAATAGAACTATTAACTAATTTTGCATAAGTTCTTAAGATTTTTAGGCTAAATATCTTTATGCGCTATTTATAATATAAAAATATATAAGTTCTCCAAGTTCCTTATTCACTTTTTAAATTTTAATTTATATCCTAATTAACCAATTTTAACACCGAGTAGAATATTATTATGAATTATTAATAAAATTAAAATGAAATGTCCCTACTGCTTTTTTATCTTGCATGCACTACTACGATAGTTAAAGTTCTAATTAATTACTAACATTTTAGCTTGAAACTAGATATTTTAAAACTAGTTTATAGTTAGTTTTTATAGATTATATTAAATACTAAATACTCTTTAAGATGCAGCTTATATGATATTTAGTTTTTTAATTAAGTTTCTGAGAAAGTTATTTATAGTGACACAATCTCATTAAAAATGGAGCTATTGCAGTTTAAATAGTTTTTTATTTTTTTAAATTACTGATCTATATTATGATGACATCATTTATCAATTTTCTCGCTAATACTGTTGCTAATGCCAGATTTTTGATGTTCCGTGTGATATACCATATAGTTTCTCAATGAAAGAACTATTATGAATAGTTTGATCAAATTCAGAAACTGATTTAGAACTACATATGGCATATATAACCAAGGGAGAAATTGCAGAGTTGAAGAGCAAGTTGAATCAAAAAAGTATATGTATACATATGTCAGTTTATTATTTATGCCTTATAAGATAACTAAATCGTAAAGAAGGGTATAACGGATTCAGCACTACATATGTGGCAGTAGAGAATTTTTTCAGCTGATACTGCTGCAATGCGAAATTTTCCAGATATTATATGAGATATGATTTCTCAATGACATAGCTTTTATGAGTAGTCTGTTTACATTCAGATACTCATTTAGAACTACAACTGGTACATAAACAAAACAATAGACGATTCAGCATTTTATCTGAAAGCTCTTCCCAAAGCAAATTTTTGACTACGAACCTTAACTACATAGTCACATACAAAATGGATCTCTGTGTGTAGTTGAAATTGATTGCGTGGATTTATTTGTTTATATGATGATTGCATTAATGCTGATGATTGTAAGCTCCTACACCTGCCTGCTATAGCCACATTCTCCATGTTCCATATGAGATATAGTTTCTCTATTAAATTACTGGTATGCATATAGCTGGAATTTATTTGTAACTGCATAATCAAATCAAAAATTGAATCTATATGCAGTTTAAGGTGATTACTATGATTTACTCTTTCAAATGATAATTGCATGAATGATAATTTTGTTGGCTTTTAGTATTGCAAATAGTGCGTCTTCTACTTCCTATGTGAGCTATCGTTTTTCAATGAAATAACATTTAAAAGTATCTATATTGGAAGTAATTCCAAACTACACTAGCCAGAGTACAGCAGTCGAAATTGAATTTTTCACATTTTGCTATGATGATTGTGTTAATGATAACTTTGTTAGCTGTTGCTGGCACTAATGGTGTTTCTGTTGCAACTATTGCTACTGATAGCCTTGCTTGTAACGTTGTTTTTGTATATGTTGTTATCTTCGACAATACGGTGCAGTTGTGATGTTATGGAATCCATTACTTCCGTCGGATGTGGTGCATCAAATAATGTTACTCTTCGATTGTGCACAACGTTGCTGTGCGCGACAGAGCAGTAGTCGGTGTCACTAGCCCAACCGACGTTGTTGGTTTCGAGCTTGTTTTCGCTTTAGCATTCTGCTGTTGCGGATGCACATAAATGGAGGCATCACGCAATTTCCGGTATAGCGAAATATATTTTCCGGCTGTTGTGGTTCTAGGAACTATATACTTTTCACAAAATTTTGTTTTACTCGTGGCAGCTTCACTGAGTTTTTCATAGGAGAGTGCTTGCAAAAAAGCTAAAACGAAAGTGTAGCAATTGTGCGTATCCTCATGGTATTTCGCCACTGACCAACGTTCGGGTTGCTTGCAAATCTGCAAATATAAATTTGTATCTAATCAGTTGTTTAACACTAAAATGTTTATGGCAAAAATATAATGTTTGGGCTTAATTGAACTGCTAAAGCAATCAAATCTTTACCAATTCAATTTTTGTTTATATTTAAGTACCTGCAGTAATACTTGATCCCAATAATCATACCACGGTTCAGGAACGTTGCCAACTAATAAGCACTGCCACCATATTGGCATATTATCCGCGCGCTTACGCTGCAGTCCATGTTGATCAAATTCAACAATGCATCCCGTCGATGTAGTCACGGCAATGTGTAAATCAGTAGCATTGTTGTAATCGCTGTCAAAAAACAGGAAGTTTGAGATATGAAATTAATAGCAAATAACAAAGAAAAATATTTTGTACGATACGAGTATGATAATGACAGATAAATATTAAAGATAAAAACAACATCAGCAAAAAATTTGCACCGATTGGAATGGAAACCAGCAGCTCTGCTTACGAAACATAAAAGCACATAGAGAAATTTGTAATTTGATTTAATGCAAATGACAAAGTCATCTGAAAATCTAATCTGCCCGAAATCCTGAACGTAAAATCATAGCCAAAGAACGAATGCCGGCAAAAATGCAAATCAATTGCAACTACTTTCAAACCACATGCCAAAAACAACGGAAATATTTTGCTCACCGACTACAGAGCTGGTATGACAAGCAGTAGCGTGAGGACAGTCAAAAAATAACGTAAGCCAAAATGACTTAGTGACACGCTACACTAATTGTAGGGCAACCAATTGCTTCTTTTATTTTAAAGAATATTCTAAATATTCTTGACAAAACTAGCAATTATACTGGAGCGAAAAAGTCTAATAGTCCACAAGTGCCCTACAAAGGATTACCAATGCTAGTGTAGGCTAAACAACACTGCTCTCAAGAGGATATTTGGAAATTTTTATTCTTAACTTGATGGAAATATTCGAAACTGACATTAGGTTTATCAAAAGGGAGTTTAAATATATGCGATTAATATATTTCTTTGCGATTTTAAAAGATTTTTTTACTATAAGGACTTATGCCGTCTGTGTTATTGGTTGCTTGTAATATACACCAATACTTTTATGATCATGTCTAATATTTTATATAAGATACCTTGGATTATTGCCAGATTTGTATTTGCAACAATCCTTCATATCTATATTTTTATTTTAGATAATATACCTTCAATTATTGGCACATTTGTATCTCCGCCAGCCCTTCATATCTATATACCACAACCGGAGATAAAGTATATTCTCCAGCATAATTTTTCCTTTCGATTTAGGAACTAAAATACATTTTGTGATTTGATTGATTTAAAGTTTGGTGAAAATTTTGATTTTCAAGTAAAAATTGAAATATTTTCTCTGTACTATGTACCTAGAATAATTTTATAGTACTTATTAAAATAGACGAGGAATTAGCTCATCTTGTCTTAAATGCGACTTAGATGGATTTGATATTATTCGGTTAAACGTGGCAATACACTTGATACACGTGATATTATCGAAGTACAGATGCTCTGCTCAATTACTATCAATGAAAATAACTGAAATATGAAATAACTGATATGTTGACTGTAAATGTATCTATTACACCCCTTTCAGTGAGTGGGAGATCTACACTATACATCAATAATTTTCACATAGCCTACATCACATTCAAGAGACTTTTCCGAAATCACTTAATTATTATTTACAAGAAAATGTAAATAGTTGTAATTTTCTTAAAAATATTGTGAGGATAGAATTCCCAAGTTACCAACATCATTTAGAAACACCTATCTACTCCTATTAAAAATTTCTAATACTATCTAAATACCTCAATGAACTCAACAGCAAGTATTTTAACGGCCTTCTGTGTCTAAACATATTGATCACTAGATCTATGAAAGACTTTCGTACCCACAAAAAAACCGAATTTCGATAATATGCACTGTTTTAAACAAAAAGCAAATTTTGCCAAACGTAAAAAATTAAAGTAAAGTCATTCATGAAATTTGAACTACCGTAGGTTTTATAGACCAGTCCAATACGGTTGTCATTTTGTACGACGGTCTCTCAGCCAGTATCTTACAAATATGACACTAAAAGGTGCTGTTACTTGTAGATTCTGTGAGACTAAAATAAAATATACATCTATCTTATTTGCTCATGTTATGCGAATACCAGGATGCGAGTCCACCTCTATATGGTTTTCACTGTATCGAGAAGTAACTTGAAATCCAGAAAACTGCTGTTAAACGCATAATGACGAAAAATAAGAAATCAAGATCTGTTTTCTGTCATCCAGACGTAATAAAACCAAGTAACTGTTGTATGGATATAGTATAGATTAAGTTGAATGTATCCAATTCTCATCTGTAAATGCTTTTTAAATTTGAAAGATATCAAACTCTTAAGTTTATGATAACGGATTATAAAAAGAGATTTACATACATGAAAAAAATATTAGTAAAGCAAGGAACCTTCACAGAACAGACTACAATGACACTGATGCTATGTTGTAAATGGAAGGGGTCTATACATGACGTTGTGTGAAAAAGGATTGGTAGAGCAGTGAAGTTTTACAAATAGAGATAAATTTAAGACTGACTATATTGACAGTAATACTATGTTGAGATTGCTCCATACATAACGTTACTTGAAAAAAGGATTAGTAGAACAATGAAACTCAACAAACAGAGATAAATCTAAAACTGATTACAATGATAGTGATAACATATTGATGCCAATTGAGTGTTTTTGTCTAGAGATTGTTGAGACTATTTTTATCCCATTCAAACTTGAAATATCTGTAATAATTTCGATAAATATTGTACTAAGTTAATAGGGTATTAAATCTGTTTATATAGATTTAAATAAATACCCGTATGAACTTTCCTACGAAAACTTGATACTTACTTGAGGAAATCTCCTATTGTTGGTCGCAAAACAATTGCACACGGATACTGTGAAGCACGTACAAATGGGTAAGGCAAGCGAAAGGGTAATATTTTTGATGGGGAGATATTGTCACTACTGTAGCGATTGTTGACTTCCACATCGACAATGTCACTGTTACCACCAATGTTGTTACTGTCACTTTGAGTATGACCAATTACATTATTGTCTGCACTTTGGATATTGGTATCATCTTTGACCCCATCTTCACCTCCGTCACCATTTTGACAGTCTTCGCTACTATTACCACTTTCATCACTTTCATTCCCATATTCTCTACTGCTAGGTAGTCCTCCTCCTCTTCCGACTCCTTCGCCATCATTTTTACAGGCGGCATCTAATTCTGACTCGCAATTAGGACATCTGAGCGGTAAAGTAAAGCAAAAAACTTTAACATTACAGTGATGAAAACACAGAATGCCAGGATCTGCAGTAACGGTACTTTTTGCCATTCTCTTTTTGCCCAACATATCAAGCACAGTCACGTTTCTTCTGTTTGGCTACTCTATTTGGTGTTCTGGAAAGAAATATGTAAAAATTCCGTTAAACAAACTCATGTACTTTTGGCAATTCAGATTTTTTTCAGATTGTTTTCGGGTTCCTTTCTATCTTAGTATTTCTTAAAAATTGTTGTTGTTGTTATTGTTGCTTGGTTTTATTGTTGTGAGTAGGATCGGGTATTAGCATTAGTATGTTCGTGTGAATGTACTAACTTAATAGCTTAACACATACACAATCATACATACAAGTAAGCACTAACGTATCAGTAGACATTGCAAGTAATGGAACTGTGAGGGGTTTGGAAGGGTCTTTTTTTTTATTGACAATTGCTGACCACGTTTATATCAGTGCATTTGTATGCGAGCGTTGCTATGGGTGGGAGTGAACAACTACACTATTGCATGGATATGTGTGTGTGAGCTGATTGAGTTTACTTACTTTTAAATATTTGCATGCAAAGTTGACATTGTTCAAAGTGAAGCTGGTTAATGCAGAGTTCGAGTTGCGTTGTTAATTAGAGAGAACGAGACTGCAATAATTTAACAAACTCCACGACTGACTCCATGTTACGAACTTCAAACAACAGAATTCAATGGATTTTTCGAGAATGTCCCTAATTCCATAAATATGCATGAGTGTACGCAGTAAATCTATCTAATTTCGCTTTGTAAAACAAAAAAAGAAAAAACAAATAAAAAAGAGTTTTGGCTCAGTAAAAACGCCACAAACATTTACAAAGATATCGACACCCACATAAACCTAAACAGGTCCATAACCAGGAAATTACTTTAAGAGGAGCTTTCAGCAAATCAAGTATCTAATTAAAAAAGAATGAGTTTATTAAACAGACACGATGGAACAAAAACTAATAAACATATGTATAAACGAATCATCACAGGAATCCTAACAGGGCACTGTAAACTAAAATACCATCTTATGAGACTAGGTATACATACAGATGCGAACTGTAGATTCTGGGAAGAGAATGAGTGAGTTGTTGACCACACATGTGCTGTTAGAATGCCCTGCGCTAATGCACATACAAAATAGGCTTATGGGAATGTATATTCTTACGGAAGAGGCAATAAAGCTCTGTAAAGTAGGTTCTAAACTACTTTTTTTTTTGACGCAATCGGATTAAGGGACCTATTCTGAACTCAGCAGGGGGCTTATAGTAACTAATATATCTTTTGAAATTGCGTTTTAGCAAGAGGATTAATATAAAAAGTCATTATCATTCAATTTGATCAAAACCTTTGGCAATATTTAAATTGATATAAATTTCTACCTGTATGCTACGACATATTGCGGAAATATTAATATTAATTTTTTTGACATCGACGAAATAAAAAAAAGTCCGTAAAGTTTAAAGAAACATATCAGTTTATAAATAATAACATTATTTTAAGGACTTTTTTGAGGATGAATGAATCATCCTATCATTTTTAATATCAGGAATAAAAAAAAAGAATTTTTGTTTATAACATTTAATTTATAAGCTTCCTAACATATCTTTTCAAAAAAAAAAACACTGATCACAAATTACTATAATACGTCGCTACAATAATAACTACTCTTTCATATTATATACCATCATAACAGTAAAGGTCTCTGGTTTGACCACAACTTATAACATAACTCCCCTTTTGTCATGTCAATCAATTCTTTAATTCTTATATTAAAATAACACTTCTTATCTACACAGAATGTTGCTTTTATACACTTTCAACATATTTTAAAATTACAGAAACTGCTACAATAAAGCATTCATCTAACTAGTATAGAGAACAATTTGATTAAAAGACAATCAGCTAGAAACAATTGATATCAGAATAGATTTTATTCGAAACAAGTTCTAATCAACCATTCTATGAGTTTTCCTTGAAATTCCGTGAGAAGGCTTCCAGAAATTGATTACATATTTTATGGAGATATCATTTTCAAGTAACTGTTAACAGTATATTATGTTGAGCCTAGTTGAGTCAGTGCACCTGAGCACTCTTACTCTCTATTAACTGCGAGGTTTCTTCAAAACCCCTCTTTGCGCCTTGACTAGATTATTGTTTATCACTTCATCAGACTAAGCAATAATTGACCTCAGATCTGTATACCTCCCCGAGGAGCCTGTAACCATTCTGAGATTTGATAACGCGGTGTTGGTAAGTCTGTCAGTTTTCGCAAACAATTACAGAGCTCTATCCTTTATGTATTTTTTGATTGTATCAATCTTGATGTCCCTGAGGATGATTAACGGTATAAATTCTGTCTAAATGACAAACATTTTTAAATTAGAAGATAATCAAAACCATCAAACATAAGAATAAAAAGTTTAGCTGGTACCTAACAATACTAAGTGTTACCTACAATCGAAGTAAGAGTAGCGAACTTTAAGATTGCCATCACTTTACGAAGTTAAAAAATTATAAAATAAAACACCCTGTATACACATATGTGTACGCAATCCTAAAAAAATGCATACCACACAAATTCTTGTATTTCTAAAGTTTTATAAATTACCTTTCATTAAGTTAACTTTCATTAAATTTAATTTAATTTAAATTTAATTCAACCCAAAAATTTGATCCCAACTTAATCCAATATTTATTTATTTGATTTATATCAAACGTTAATTCAATTGAATCTCAATTTCCATATTTTGTGAAATTCTTTACACAGTAAATTTTATGACTTTATTTGAAGTACAATTATGTTACCTTCAAGCACTTTTTCTGATTTTTCTTACAAGCGTCTTGGACACATTTCTCCATTCTGTTCCATTGATCACAATTAGTGATTTTTTCACGTTGTATTACCACAATTCTTGCAAAGAATCTAATGATATAAAAAGACAAAAACTAAATCAATTCTGTTAAAATTAGATAATTAAATAGATCTTTCGTCCTTACCGATGAACAGTCTGACAAACTATCAAAAAAAATAATACCATAAAAAGTTATTTCTTCCGAAGACTAGAGCTGGGCATTCACAGAGAAAATGCTTACTGTTAGTTGACAGATTATATATTTATTGGTCGAGTGATGTTGTATTGAAAAGAGAATTCATTGAAGGAAGACCATGTACATGAGCAAAACAAATCAGATTTATTTGATATCATCAATTAAAATGTATTTTAAAAAAAAATCATTTAGAAATATGTTATAGTTCAAAGAAATAACAAAGATGTTTTTGTAATCTTTGTGGCAAAGTTCATATATATTTGTTTTCCTATTTAATCTTTTTAATAAAATTATACTATTATAGAGTTATAATCTACGATTTTAATCAGCACTTTTAGTGACGTACATTAGTAATGTTTTACCCATAAATTTTGCTCCCCACTAATTGCAAAAAGGATAAGTTTAAAACTCTTTTAATTATTTTTATCTAGATGTGAAAAAATGCCTGCTTAACAAATCATGATGTCCTTGTAGAACTTAATTTTATTAAAAATATACTATGATAAAAAAATAGTAAAAAAAATTTCAAAAAGCCAAATTAAAGAGTATAAAAGCTTAGTGCTAAAAAATGCTAACAGAAAGCGACTTCAGTTAACCAAAAACATATAAAGTTGCCACATAACAAAGACAACCAGCGTAGCCACCGTAACCATACAATGCCTAATTGAATTTATCTAATATAAATCAGCTTTTTGAAACAAAGTATGGCCACAACAACAACTGGAGCAACATGAAGAACATCGAGAAGAACGGGAACAACCTCATCAAGAGCGATTAAAATAATAATAATAAAAAAAACGGAGTCAACAATATGGTGATGATATCATATGTTTTAAACATGCAACCGCTTTAAGGAACACAAACGAAAGAAAGCAGAATGAAAGAAGGCAGAACGAAAGAGCACACTCAGAAAAAAAAGCCGGTAAAAATACGAAATCAAAACAAAAAAGGAAACCGGTATAATTCTTCACATACAAAGCGGCAAGTTTGAATCAAAAATTGAAATATAAACTTACCACAAAATACAAAAGCAAGAGAGAAAAAACCATTAGATATTATAAAAACCGAATAAGAAATATAAGAAGAATAGGCCAACATTTTCCAATTTAACACTGCAATAAAGAGTACACAAACATAAGGAATTGTTATAACACGTGGAAGAGTTCCCCGACTTAACATTAAATCACATAGCGAAAAGAACTCACCAAACTAAATTCAACAAACTAAACTCACCACACCTTCAGAAGAGCACAACAGCATTCAATACTGAATTGATTTCGTGTGCAATTTCTTGCTAGTGAAAACGCCATGCAACATAATGTTGAAGGCAGACGTTCAACTTTCAGGCAATCAACAAGGGTTGAAAACTTCTGGCACCCTTACTGAAGCAGTTGTCGGCGAGCTACGGTTGTTAACGGTCGTGTCCCATGCAGAGCGGCGGTTCCAATACGTTTGTAGCATTCAAATTAGAATAATTGGAATCAAAGTTTCTTAATAAAATTGTTTGTCTGTTGCCAGCGAACGTTACAGTGGCAACATCAGTAGTTGTTGACCAACCGAAAAGGATACTTGACAAGCGGACTGCCGCTTTCGAACAATTAACTAAATAATATAGTAAATCAAAAATATTATACAAAAATTGTGCTAAATTAAAATAAAATATAGAAAATAAAAAAAAAATATTTCATCTATAAAACTAGTTAAAAATTAAAATTATTTAAAAATTAAAAATTATTTAAGAACTACAAAAACAAAATTACAATAAGTCAAAATAAAAATATTTGTGTGTTTTTAAAAATATTAATGTTATTATAAAATAAATTTACTCAATTATAATATAAATCTGTTTGCCAAAATTTTTAGAATTGGGCGTCGCTAAGTGACGTTTAACTTATTTACTTCCGCTTATTCCTGAACCAAGTTACTCTACTCCTTCGAATCTCAAACAAACCAAATTTCAAAAAAATATCCGTTTGTTGTGCCAGTGTTGGTTACTTTAGCAATGAAGTTCATTTATTAACATAGCAACGTTTGCCCGAATACATATTTAAACATAAAC